CCACTTATCTTTGTGCCTTCCCATCCCCACAGCACAAGTCAGCGTTGCACAGGGACAAGTCTGACAGCACTGCTGATGCAAGACATTTGTGCACATTTATCTTTCAGGCACCAGTGAGAAAATAATGTCCTAGGGATGTGGTGTAAAAGGGAAGCCTAGAATTACAGCATCCCCTCCGGAGGCTGCCTCCGATACAAAGTCCGCCCACATTAATGATACAGCTTGCTCCACCACAGGCCACTCACAACTATTTAATGACAGATACTGCACACAGAAGACAAGGACTGGCCAGTGCATCAGCCCAAATGAAGGGTTAGGAAGGGCGTGTGCGTGCACAAAAAGCCTCAAGGGTTGATGTGGCAGCAGGGCAGGGCGGTTGCTTTGGGCTATTAGTTTCCCCTCAGTTTCACTACAGTGACTGGGAACACTTGCTCCTGTGACAACAGCGGTCGCGCTGTGTTTCACGCCACACAAGGGCAACAGCCTTATATGATGAGGAAAGAGCTTGAGCTAGGAGACCTAGATGTTTTCCTGCCTCTTAAATTCTGCAAACAACGGGAAGACTGCACTTCCCACTGCCCATCACAAACCTCCATCGGGACAGAGATCCATGATTCCCACGCTCCCGTGCAACGTCTCGGGCTCTGCTACGCTCTCCAGTCACGACACAGCAACTGCTGGTCTCCTTATGGACCAAGCTGAAAGCAGGCACGGAAATACTAAAAAAAAAAACCCCTCTCCTGAAAATACTACTTTGGTAGAAATACAGAATAGGATTTTTTTTTTTTTTTTTTTTTTACTGCCTGGTTTGCAATAAGGAAAGAAGTCTTGTGCTCGTTAGTCTGTAAAGCCCATACAGGAGCATTGCTGCACCGCCAGGACCCCAGCAAGCGAGGAGAGCTCTGACGGTTAACCGGGAAAATAAAGAGCACGAATCCTTCCTTCGTAACCCCTCACGTGCCTTCGCGCCAGCACGGCTTCAGTCCCAGGTACCGAAATAGCTCAAAGCGGGCTGGTAGCAGCGGAGCCCGAGGGGAAGGGCTTAGGCTGCAAGTCTCCTCGCTGGGGAGCTTCTAATGGAAATGACTTTTTCACTCAGGTGGTTAAAGGCTTTCTGCAGCTTCAGGCTGGCAGAGCAGGGCTGGGGCGGGGGTGTGCAGGGGGGATGCTGAAGAAAAGGACGCGATTAGTTTATTCATGAGAATTTTCTGTCATTTGCCAGTAGCCAGAGGCTGCAACGCACCGCGGGCAAAAATACTTTGCAGCGTACAGAGGAGAAAATGATTAAACTCCCACGCTCAGGGGGGAGCCCAGAGCGTATTCCCACCAGCCTAACCAGCCCACCGCCGCAGCCCTGCCCGTCCCCATCAGCCGAGGCGCCGCTCCGTCGTAATCATCTCCCTGCTAGCGCCGCTGCTGCGATTCCAGCATCTATTCTGGTTTTGGCCACCTGCAAGTTCTAGCAAAGTCACAAGCCTAGAACCCACCCGAAGGGTATTCGGGACAACACCCCACAGCAACAGAGTCAATCAGTCACTGGGACAGAACCTGGCCCTTAAACAGTCTTGTTTGCATTTCAGTACTGAAGAGTACAATCCCAGTGAGCAGACAGAAGGCTGGCTAAAGGGCAGAATACCTCTATGAAGAGGATTATTTTTATTTTTTTAATAATTATTTTTTATTTAGACTGACACATAGAGAACAGCCACCTCCTTCCCACCTTTAAGAAAGCAACTACATCTAGGGTGGAATGAGTTCAGTTGCTGAGAAAGCCTCCCCCCAAAGCATGTAAAATACATTTTCTTAGGTGAAAACCACAGCAGAGAGTCCTCCCAAGCAGAAAATGCTCAACTGCTCCATTGCTCTGTTTCCATCCCTTCTTTCCCTGGAGGAAGGCAACAAGCCAGCCGCACATTAACAGCGGCACTCCAGCGACTATTATACTTTGGGAAGCTCCATTCTTACTAAAGCAAAGGTTAATTGTTCCACATTCATTTGCCAGACTTCAAGAGATGAGTTCTACAATGTTAGGGTGAGGCTTCAATCCCTTTAATGCAATTTTTGACTCTCTGGGAAAAAAGTATGAGTTAGAAAGTGCCAGAGGCAAATATTACCTAATTCTTCTAATGGAAAACTAAAAGTCACTTTTCGCAACTGCTACAGAGTCAGAAAAGGTCTCAGAACAAAGTCATTGAAAAGCAAAAATGTCTTGGAGCTATAATGGACTTTAATGCAGTTAAAGAAAACCACCAGCAGGAAACGACCAGGATGCAGAGCAGCCAGCTGCAGTCTGCGCAGACCTGCAAGGGACCTCTGCAGCCTCCTGCTCCGTCCACTGAGCAGTTACAGAGAACACGTGTCCTCCTCACTCAGAAAGCCTTTGGTGGATCCCATCTGCCTAAAAGTCATTCTCAAATAAAAAGATAATATTTCAGAAAAGCACGGACAACATTACAAAAGTAATAAAGACAATTAAAACTGTGCCAATCCATGGAGGACAAGAATGAAGATTCACTCAGGGAATTTGAGGCAACTCAGGTTAACCCAGAATTACTGTTCATATATCCAAACACCAAAAATGATTAGCTGATATCTCCGTTCCTAAAAAGAGCCATCTGCCAAGCCAAGTGCATGTCACTGAACCATAACAGCAAATTATCTTGTTGTCGTTATTTGTTCTTTTCCTGGAGCTCTGCTACTACATGCAAACAATTCCTCATGTTTCCGTATGCAGAGCATTCCTGAAAAAAAACAGTGGGATGCTGAGCTCATTCCAGATTTGCTCTTTTTGGAGCTGTTTATTACACTAACAAATCATAGCACAAATTTTATCTTATAACATCTGGGGTGGATAAATTAGCAGGGACGGAGGGCAGGCTTTTAAGGATGCACCTTCATTAAAAACAAACAAAAACCACAAACAAAACCATCCCCAACCCCCCAAAAAAACAACTCAACAGAAGCCAAGTGGAGAGATGCTAGCATGGGGATGCTGAAATCTCCATCTGTGTGCGCCCCACCAAGGTACACCGAGTTTTAAGCGGACAGACCCTGCCTCGGTGAGCTTACAGTCAGGAGAAGAGAGGGGTTAAACAATTAAGTCTGGAGAATGCTATTCCATTGCCTGGCTGGTCCAGAAAGAACAGGGCCAGGTTCACCATAGATTTTATATTTTGCAGTTTACCTTCTATGACTGCTGCTCCTAAAACGGGAAGTTCTCACCTGAGCACTCTTCCCCGCTGCCTGCAACAGGTAAAGGAGAAAACGGGAGCAAACAAACTCAAAGGAGAGATTCCCCAGGTGGGGGGAATTCCCCCCCACGTGTAGCTGCTTTAAACACGCCAACATGAAGCATCGGTGTGTGTGTAAGCAGCGAACGCCTCTGCTGCCTTTCCCTGCCCAGCCCTGGCCCTGGCCCCGGCAGGGTCGGCAGCAGCTCTGCCGACAGCCGGCACGGGGAGGGAAGAGAGGCAGACTCTGGTGAAAGGAAGACCACAGACAAGCGACAGACCCTTGAGCAGCTGTCGGCTCCTGCCACGATACAGAATGCAATGCATATTTTGGGGAAAATCTGAGAATGTAAAACTTTCTCACCTCTACAGCTAGGTCTACACGCCCATGTGTTCACACTAGATTTACTAAGTGTCATATCCAGTGGGCACAAGCAGAACCCATCCTCACTCTTCCTCCTCCAAAAACGAGGCAACTTTAAATTGTTTATATTTTATTTAAATAAAATGAAAACTATCGGACAACCCAACAGCGTTTTGGCGTGCGAGTGCATCGCTAGCTTTGAAAGGGTATTTGCAATGCCAGAGGCGCCTGACGTTTGGACACAACAGATCCCGAAATCCTCAGAGCAGACTGTCCCACGTGAAGTTTTGACTCTGAGGACACGCGTGGCCCGTCGCAGCCGCTCGGTGCTGCCCAGCCACCTAGGGCTGCTCCATCACGGGCCAACTGCCCAGGGTCCCCGTGGGGCTGCAGAGGGCAAAGGAATCGACTCCATCAGCCTGAGCCACAGCCTGCCCAGGGTTGCCGCTATCACCAGCAGAAAAACCCGCTCTCCGGACCACGGAGGACATTTGGGACTGCCTCTGACACCCCCCTGCACACACTCCCGATACACGTGGGCTGCGTATCATACACGCTAAACAAAACTAAACTCTCTTTTACAGAACTGCAGAACAAAAGTCAGTCTTTCCGTGCTTCGGTATCTTGCCTTTCCTTCTCCACCTCCACTGAAAGCACTACCCCTTTGCTAGGACACAAATGGTGACAAGCTTGATGGCAAACTTGCAGTAAGCCATTCTTAGCACCTTGAAGTCATCAAGTACTCTATTCTAGATAATGAAAACAACAACAGAAGTCAGGTGTGGAGAACCTATGTGTCAGTACAGTGATCTCTCCCAAAGGTTTGCCCTTTTATAAAAATAACTGCAAGTTTCTTTCTGTACAGGAAAGCAGTTAGTGTCATATCCAACATATAAAAACCGAAGCACCAAAAGGGGAGCGACCAGCTAGGAGAGATTCTTGCAAATACTTGCAGAGTAGGTACAACCTCATGGAAACAAGGCACTCTGTTGCAAATTCCTCGAAAACCCCGATACACACCATTACGGAGAGCATCACGGGATTAGAAAATAATCATCAATGATTTTTCTTCTATTTCCCTCCCATGTTTGAGGTGCTCTCTCTCTGACCTCATTCTACCGCTCAGGACTTGTCCGAGACAAGAAATGCTCCGAAATATGTTGTCTTCCATCAATGTGAGAGAGAGAGACATGTCCAGAAGACACAGCATCCCAAATAACAGTGAATGCATAAGTCTGATGCCTGCTTGGTGCAGGCGTCCCTCTTCCAAGACCACACTCTGTCCCACACCTCACCACCAACTCCGTCCTCTTTTTAATCTTGTCCCGAGCCTGACCAGGAGCGCTTTAGGGAAGGGACAAATTCTTGTCCTTTGCCTTTCTAGGGGGACCCCACGATCAACTCACCAGCACACGATCTCCAAGCCGCAAGTCCTTCTCCCCTTTTTTCACAGACCCACTGTCCGAGAGGTTAGATCCAGACTCGTTGCCCGTCTTCATGGCGCTGTTCAAGACGCTCTCCCGCAGGGGGATGACGCGAGTGGAGAGAGGTGGCGTGGCCGTCCCCGAGTGCAGTGACAAGTTCTGAGCCGTCAGGGAGTCCACGGAGGGGGCGTCGCTCCCCGAACCCTCGGCCACCGGCTGCCGCGTCAGCTTGGACGGTCGCGTAAAAATCCCCTGCAGCGGCTGGCATTCAAAGTAACGTACTCCACCAACAGAGCCGTCATTCTTACCCACTGGGTCATCCAGAACGACCCCTGCCCACTGGCCCGGAGCAAATTGCGTCTCCCCAAGATACTGGATCACACCTGGCTTCACTCCATTTACCCAGACACGTTCGCCCACCACAAAGTCTCCCAGGAAATCATCGCCCACCTCGGCAACCTTTGAACCCGACTTCTCGGCGCTGGCGGTGGAGGTGGTACCCTGCTTGTGTAAAGGTGAGCCTGTGAATCAAGGGAAAAGAGGTTTTGATATGAGGAGAAATCCTAAAAGGCAGCCAAAACACCAGGAAAGGGCATTTACAAAAAGGAAACATCTGGGACCACAACTTCATTTGCAGGTTCACACTTGATTAAGGTTAAAACCTGAGCGACCCCATTACTTACACATAAAGGAAAGCAATCTGCACACAAATCCCCGTATGCTGCCCACTTTCTGCAGGTCTCACAGACAACATAAAGAACCGACCCCATGTCTTCACCCCCCTTTATAATGCCCACTTACCCCCAGTCCCATCGAGGACTATTTTGCACCGAGGGGTATTTTGCATGGCAGCACTAACAGGCATAAGCTCAAGAAGACCTGAGCGGTGGTAAGTGCTTAAGGATTAGGAGGGGACCAATGAACTGCTGCTTTGAAGAAAAATGCCAAAGTCAGCCTTTCATCCAAAAATAAAAAGAAAAAAAATAAAGCCAGAAGTGAGTGAGGTACTGATGTTTTAGTACCTGGAGCTATGAGCACTCCCCGTTTCTGGACACGGGCAAACAGTCCAAGCATTGAGAGTCCCACCAAGGGCGTTAACAGCTCCCATGGGACCACGCAGCTGCCTGCGCAAACTACTGCGTTATCCCAGCTGCTGCCATGCCCTTTGCTGGAGCAGAACCCAGCAGTGAGCAGACACCTGGGCTATGTTCATATAAACAGCGTATCTATAAACAGGAAGCATCTACAAACCCCTGCGTGCGCGGCCTTCCCAGGGCTGACGCGCCGGGCACTGAACGCAATGAAACCTGCAATAAAGAACGCTCTTGCTCCGGCATCAGCCCCTCAAGCCGAAGCCAGACCTCCAGCAACGCTTCGCTGCGCTGGGAGAAGGAAAACCGCAGGTGAGCTGGAAATGCACCATCCCACTCGTTCTCTCCAGCACACCCAGGACTGGCCGAATGCGACTGGCGTCTGAAGGGGAACAAGGGCAACCCCAGCAAACGAGTTAGCAGTGACCCCGCTCCTGCTGACCCCAGTGCCCAACTCCCTCATCGCAAACTTTGGGCTTTCAGCCTCGGCCCCAGGGGAACGAAAGAAAAGGACATACGGACTTCATTAAAACACTCTGAAGACTAAAGGGGGAAGTTAAGTAAAGCCCTAAAAGAAATCACAGGAGATTAAGGAAATAAGCTTGCAAAATAAGATCCAGCAAGCCATACACCGCAGACCTTCAGTCATCCTCAGCTGCTGGTAGCACTGAGGTCCCAAGTGTGCTTCTACCCACGGCTGGTGTAGGGAGTGTGTGCCTGAGGCTTGGTCTCAACACGTCCTGCGCTCAATGAAAGCTACCTGGACTCTTCACCCAAGCTTTGAGCTGAAATTTCTGGGTGCCAGCAACCAGAAAAGCCTGGAGTACACCCAGGAAGAAAATTTTATTTGCTACCAGACAAAGCTGACAGAGAAAGTCTAACCAGTTGCAAAGACAAGTCAAACTTGAGGGCTTATCTGAAACGAACTGTGAAACTTGTTCAGCCTCAGCCATCACTATCGCTCAGCCTGCACCATTTCTACAGCTCTCTCAGAAGTAATGGGCCTGACAGATCACGCTCCGCTCCTAGAAAGCCTGAAGAATATAAAACTCTCAAACACAGATACCTCAAGCTTTGCTAAAGGTCTAGTGTGAGGGGAAAGAAAAGGGCACCAGTGCTTCAGTGCTAGTATAAAGAACCTACAGTTTCTGCTAAACCAGCTGCATTAAGAGGGATTAACATTGACACTTTGGTTCTCATTAGACTCCAGAGTCAACACTCTTGACAAATCTCTACAGCACGATTGTAGCAGTTTGTTGGTGGCTCCTGGAAGGCAGCAGTACCTCTGCCTGGTCTGAACCTGATCTGAACCAGGACAGAGCAGTGGTTAAGGCACAATCGTACAAACTCCTCTTACGAACAGAACCGCCTCCAACCTGCTCACTAGAGACTTCATGGGCCGGAGCTGGAGCAACTCTTGAGAAATTTAGCTAAACAGGGAACGCACAGCACAACACATGGGGCGTGTTCAAGAGGCCCTTCCTGTGGTGGGCACAGAACGGGCAGTGACATAAATACTGTTCCCAGCTGAACCCATTAGCAGCAACCCAGTCGGCAGTGCTGCCGGCAAAGCTCGGCCAGCTCCCTGGGAGAAAGGGATGCGCCTTCTCTCGGCGTTTTGGCCCCGCTCTGAAAGCTTCCTCAACCCCACATGTTCTTCATTAACTAAATTTTTTTTTTTTTTTTTTTTTTTTTTTTGCAGTTGCCTGACTTTCAAGCTTGTGTTACTCTCAATCTTGTAAAAGATAGTACCTCAAAAGGGGCTCCGTTAGGGGTATGGCATTACATCCAAGAACCAGTGTCACTTCAAGAACTGAAAAACAAGAGACTATAAGGATGCTTAGAGCTTTTGATCTTTACAAAAGACTTTAAATAAAAAGGGGGGTGGGTTGGGGGAACAGGGCTCCATCCATGTGAACCATAAAGACAATGATAAGCTGAAAATAAGGCCACCATTTTAATTTCAATGCTAATTGCACAAGACAGTAAAACAGTTAGATTAAGAACCAACAAGTTACGTTTTAAAAAAAGTCTTTCAGTTTAGTAACCAGAGATGGCTACAGGGGTTCATCACCAACAACGTCTGTGATATGTATCTCTCTCCTTCCATGGGTATGAGAAAAAATTAAATTAGAAACACAACTTGCATCCCGGTTCCATGCTCAGCAGAGTGCCATAACACACGGATCTCGTGCTGCTGACATGTTTGCAGCAGATATATGCAACGTGCCAAGCAGAATAACCAACTTCAACCCTACTGTACAGGGAACTATAAGCAAAGAAATTTGGGAGGGAGCTCTGCATCTGTAGTTACAAAAGATCAAAGCTGTTTTTCTAGCCCTACTGGAGCCTGAGTTTCAGCACACTAGCAGTCTTTATTGGGGCTGTTAGTGATCAAGATACAGGTTATATTAGCTCTCACAAACACCTCTGCAACATGGCTGGGATAAGCAAACCCTTCAGCAGCGAAGCTCAAGCAAAGAAAGGCAGGAAGGCTGCCCAAGGCTGAACAAACAACGCAGCAGGATTTAAAGCCACGTCTAGACTCGCTGTATTTCACTGCAAGAGCAAACACCTTCAAAAACTGACTTGGACTAGAAAAAAAAAACGAACAGTTCATTGGACTCTTGGTGTAACACTGTGTTCCCCATAAAGCCAAAAATTCAGTGGGACTTTACACACTCCGTTCATTTTAGGTGCCTGTCTGACAGGCAGGGCTGCCAAACTACAGTAATTATTCCATCTCGGGGAAACAGTCTAATTACAGGCTCCTGAGCAGAGCAGTGCAGTCAGAAGCATTACTGTTCTTTAGCATGAGGTGAATGATTCAAAAAGGTAGGATTTAAGTGAGGAACCGCCAGAAGGATCACCTTCTTCATTATGGCCATGCCAGAGAAACTTGGTATTTTACATGATCTTCATTACCTGTATAAAAAATAACAACTAAGGCACTGATTTTCCTACAGTGCAGTTACCAGGCTTTTGTGCACTATGTTTTCAGAGAAGCTGAGAGTCACTATCATCAAGCTAAATCCTTTCTTCTGGGCTTCAAGTCTGATGGACCCACTAACCAGATGGCCAGACAACATCTAGAGTAGTTTGAGTAGACTAAGCTCTGATCTTCCCAGGTAGGTATCTGGTCACCAGCCCTTCAGAAGGCAAAAAGTAGTGATGAGCGACTTGTCTTCGATCCCATGAGTATCTTAGATAGCCCAAAACAGACATCATCTGACAGTACTGCTCTCAAAGATATGAGATCTGGAGTTACCTGCTCTCCAAGCAGCTCTTCCAGCTTAGGGGAAAGCCACCCAAATGGCCGGAACTCCTGAGCTTTCTCCAGCCTACAGGCACCTAAAGAGCTGGTCTATGCCTGTGTCCTTTGGTTTTGCTGTTTCTGGAGAAGAAAAACCTTGTTCTAGTGAGAATCCCCACTTAAAAACCGACAAGTTCCAAGAAACTCAGTAACAGCAAACTGAGGGTACAGATCTCGGGTACCAAGCTGAGAACAGGGTTACACAAAAGAAACCCAACAAAATGTACACTGAGTATTTCCTACTCCAATCCCCCCGTTAGCTGGCAATGCCAATCAAGAAGCCACAGAAATGCTCTGGATGTCACTAACTCAGCAGCTCACCTGGAAGCCAGTGATGGGGAAAGCTCTTTCCTCCTTGGTCCAGGAGGATCTCCCTCTGCTGCTCTGTCCAACACAAACCTCGCTTGCTAGACAGGACTGCAACAGCAGCTCCTCCCTCTCTCTGAGGCCAGGCTCCAAGACACAACAAGCAGTAAGCAGGATCTCTTCCACTTGGGCTTTTCCAACTTTACAACCCTATTGTGTTCATTAGCTGGCTCATTCTGTTGGGTCTTCCTGTAGGTCACAGCTTTCAGGGCTGAACAACAACTTCTAAATCAAAGTCAAGCACAGCATCCGCTAAATGCAAATCTTATCCAACTCTAAATCTCTATTTTCCCATTAGCTTTTGTAAAGCCCAGGCATGATGCGTAACAACCACCGCGGCAGACCTGGGGCTTAGGGCCCTTTTTGCAAATTCATCAGTTTTCGGAGCCCATGGTGACAGGGTACCCCACACTGACAGGGCACCAATACTTCGGGAGCCAAACAAATTCCTACCAGCCAAGAGCTGCAGAGGTTAAAGGTGTTAACTGAAGCTTCAGCCTGTTCACGTGGCTCTCATTACCGTGTCAATGAAAGCCATGTGTCTGCAATCCCTGGAAGCTCAAGGACTTCTGCAAACAGGGGACGGACTCTTCCAGCTCTTGGAAACGTCTGCGGTAGGAAGGAGTGAACAGCTTCGCACAGTACAGGAGCAAGAAACGCTCCCTTCAAGTAAGCTCTGGAAGCTGAAGCAGGAGGAACAGAGTACTTGCTCTGCAGCGTCAGCAGAAATAACCTTCTTTGCAGGACCCCC